CAACATTCAGCCATTATCGAATAGTGACCGTTGCAAGTCGAATGGAGACATGGTCATAAAACATTCGCTTGCAAGAAGAAGATTTATCTACCAGGAGAATACTGAGTAATATAGGAAAGTAGAGAAATAGTGATCCCTCTGTGTAGCTGCATGTTGGTGAACATTCTCGATATTTGTTGTCGGTAGTTAGGTCCGGGAATTTCCTGAATTCCCAAACCTAATCTACGTGCCGCGGCAACTTGTTCCGCACATTCAGTACTATCCGTTCGAAGCATAGTTGGAGAAGGACTCGCTTCAAATCCGTTACTACAAGCTTAAACCGGTGTCCCTTGCTGCTTGGTGTGCGCTTAGTGCGCAATGGATTTAACATTGGTAATCCTCTAATATGGTATCAATGCCATTGTTTAAGAGTGCTCACCGTTCAGAGCTCCTGTGATCCAACCCTCGTTGGTTTCAAAGATGATGGAAATTATAATTGCGTTGAAGCAACACGGCTTTCGCCTGCACTGGTCATATACTAGCAATGTACAGATTGCTCGGGTTAGGCGTGAAATAGAATCAAACAGTATCAACGTACCGGTTGTAATGGCTAAGGCAGCTGATAGTCGCTTTCAAATTATCCTGTTTTACATGCCGGTTTGTATTTGGATCCATTAAGCAAGCTCATCATCTCTGGTAGATTCATTGACGATGATCGGGAACTTCCAGCAGCCTGCACCAGGAAATTCAGGAACGATGAACAAGAATCAATTGACGCATCTCCTCATGCAGACGTGTCAGTCCACATAGCTAGCATTAGACTGGCAAATTACCCATCAATGATTGATGTGGACGTATCGAAGTATTGCAGAATGCAAGTAGCTACTTTCAACGTTGATGGTAGAGGAAGAAGTCTCCTTCGCACCTTACAAAACTTGCACAGGTGCCCGTACAGTTTTATATGGTTTGAAGTTAAAGCTTGCTGACATACCATTTTTGCCACGTGCACAAGTTGAATTCAATAGTTACGGTGGACAAACTAAATATTCTATTTGTTTGTGCTCAGGTCTGTTACGTGAGCATAGTATGCTGTATTTCGAACCACCGTGCATTTTGCCTGTCCTACTCCGTACACACGAGGTCATGTTGGTCCAACCAGTAACCCTAGTTTCCGACATATCAGCAACTAGGGCTCTAAACTTTCCAACGAAATGTTTCCAGACAGTATCCAGTGCATCATCGGCTGAAAAACTCCAGTTGGTAGTTTCAACAAGTCTAGTTAAAGTGTTGTGGCTCGTCATGTTCCGCTTCCCTTCAGTTTCTTCATAGGGTATTGTGCGTGGTGAAACATGATTTCTAACCAGCACCGGAATATGATCCTGCGGTAAAATGGAGGATCTCGCTTATCCATACTGTCACAGAGATGTATGCAAACCGTCATTTGTATTGTGCAGACATCACAATTGTCCTCACTCGGTGAGGCTTGACTTGACTTGAAAGAATGCGGCTGGTGTTGACTACTATCTGTCATTGGTCGGAAGGTGCGGTCACCATGTCAGTGTTGATGAAACATGCCATTTCAGGCCACCAATCGAAGATCTAAAGGCTTCCTCACCGAACTCAATAACGCGGGGATGCAGCTTACTTGCCCGAAAACACGGACCAGTTTGTCAAAGCATGCAGTGCTGGCGAAACCCCAAGGTCTTCGATACTCGTCATTGTTTTCCGTGACCCACGTTCCCTTAAGAGGATGCACTTTGCTGAGTTTTCTTCACGGAAGTTTTATTTCACTGGTTTGGCTGGGTTAAACAAGCTAGAAATTCAGTTTTCACAGATCGCAGGACGTCAGCCGTCAACCTTAATATAACTAATTCTATCCCATCTACGGCTATCTCTAAGTAATGAGTTCAAACGATGACGAAACTGGTGCATTGATGGGAGCGAGTGCGGTCGAATGCCCTCTAAGCCGAAAGTTTTGATTGTCACCTACATTTTATTATCGGTACTAGATGTCACTATCGTGGTTTCGTTAACGGCGTCATTGGCGGTAGCATATCGGTACTTTGTAATGACACTTAACTCTCGAGAAATCAAGATAAGACTACTAAAGGGGCTAAAGAAGGGGGAACATGGAGTTAGTCTACAATAGTTAAGAACCAAATTAACATGTACCAACACCACGCTGCCACAAATACCTGCCTATCATGTGGATCTAGGGCTGCGTTGGTCAGATACCTGCATTGCGGCTTTGACTGAATCCCATCATAGCCATACTAACCCTTTAGATGAAGTGGCGCCATAAAACCTCAGAAAGGAAGACGAACCAGCAGAACAAGTGTGTACACCACCACTGCAGGTTGCGAGCTACGCTGTGTTGTCTCGATACAAACACAGAGTGGATGGCTTGAGTCTAAGCGTGGTAAGCGAGATAAACCAAAAAAACCTAGGTTTAGCGGATAGAGACTTCAGCTTCCACTTTTAGGTCAGTGCCTGCTCTTTTAAGCTTTAGACTTTCCAGTCTCATGTGGGTAAAACAAAACCGTTCCCGGAAGACGACGAACACACACGTAGCACGCCGTAGATGCCGAACGATTTATCCATACTTGCAAGGGGAAATGAATAGTATACACGGAGCTTCAATACATCTGGATTCGATCAGACAGCCATCACACATCCAGAAAGGCACTGTACAACCGCTTAACCTATTCGGGAATCGCATTCCATCAGACCCCTTTGAGGCCTTAACCCGCAACCCCACTGTTACCAGTGTGTAGTTGAGATCGCTGAGCTGCAGGGGCACGCACCGATTGATGTGGCTAAGTCACTTGATGTAATATACTATCACTCACTATCAACTGACTGACAAGTTACTGCCATGCAGCAGATCATGTAGCCCCCTCGCAGAGCAACGAACTTACCATACTAAGCCGCCAATTAAACTATGGCATTAAAAGCATTTTCGTCTGCGTACTGTTTATCAGGGAAGATGAATGACATAAATGGCTTAAATCCATTACCTCCAGAGTCAGTTTGTTTTAATTCCCACTGAGTAGTAAAAAGACAGAAGTGACACTGCTCGAACGCATTTACTCGCACAACTGAAGTTGTCACTAACTGCCAGGAAAAGACGCTTACCACACACTTGCTCGAAGCCAGTCAGTTCTCACGTGCCGTGTGATTGGCTGAAAGTTCCAAGCTGACACATAACACACTCGCTGGAAATCGATCACTTTTCACGTGCTGTCTGTCTGCCTGACATACGTGATTTCTCTAACACAGTCAGACGGCCATCACATGTCCAGAAAAGCACTATGAAGCCGTTTCACGTCACGTCGGTCGATACTGTCCCCCGTAGTCCTCCGTCTCAACCACATATTGGGAACAGTCTAGTTGCGGATTCAAGCCTTAAGCGGATCAGATGGAATGCGCATTACTAACGATTCCCAAAAGGATGAAAGCACCATACAGTGCTTGCCCATCACTGGCGAAGCACGTGCAACACCATGGTAGAGTTCGTGTTACGGTCATAATGTTCTAACGCAGGAAACAGTTCCCAACGAGCCGCCGTACCGTCTGTTACAACAAACACACTGGATCGAGGTTAGTATGGGGAAGACAGTGGGATGACTACCTTGAAGAATACTGAATTTGAATTTGTGACACTCAGATAACATTTATACAAATATTTTCAAAACATGCATCAGATTCGGAAGGTTGGTGTTAGATATGTGCACCACCTCGTTCCCCTTTGGCTCAGTTACAACCAAGCCACCATGCTTCACTAATCCAAACAAGACTAAAAGCGGCCGCGGTGCGCCGTACTGATGGCGCGTAAAGTAGTGTCCCTAATTTGGCTGCGGTTCGGATCTATTTTATTGTACACCACTACTTCGCTTGATATTTTATGCCACCAGCCAGCTATAAGCAGCTGCCTGAGCCAAAACTAAAGTTTCCGTTTTACATTGTTTTGTTTTTTTTCTGTTATCATATCTGTGGTTAGCTCAAATCCCCTACGTCAGCAGTTCGCATTATTTCAGCTGCAGATACAGCTTTCAGCAAAAATTTCCAAGCAACGATAACTGTCTCCTGGGGCCAGTATAGTCAAGGTAGCGGTTTTTCGACAAGCAGGCATCTTTTACACTTACCAACCAAGTTCATCCATACCGCGGATATCAAACAACCAACAAAGGATGAGAGAAAATAAAACGTAAATTGGACAGTAAATATGCAGCAGAATGACAAAATTGATGAAACCAAACTTGTATCGAAAAGGAGTGATTCTGTCTACGGGTGATCTTGGGCAGGTGAAAGTGTATGTCAGGGATACCAATCAACTGGAACAAAAGCGAAAAAGGCACGAAATAGACAGGGAATATGCGGAGGAATAACAGAACAGAACATATAGTAAAAGAAAATGAGTTTACTCGGAGCTAGTTTATTGCGAATCAAGCATAAGTCGTTCTAGCATAACTGCGGTGCAGATGCCCGTTAACTACAACAGCAACATTAGCCTGAGGCCCTTGCTTGCAAATGTGACATCATTGCTTTTTAATGTGTCAAGACTCAGTCCTAGCAGTACAAATACCGGCGCGTAGCGTAAGGTTTTTAGGAAGAGTGAATACAGAGACAGTATACTAAACAACTTTCGTGACACAAATGTTAAAGAGTGAAGAGTATGCGCGTATGCGTTTGGGTGCTTATAAGACCAATAAGAGTGGGATAAACCTTAGCCAACGATCCTGAGGAGAACACGTGATATCGTGCAAGTAGCGAGATTACCCTGCGATTACGTGCACTCCCTTCTTCCCTATTTCCGTAATTGCTGCCAATAAGAATGCATGTTCTTTCTGTACATCTTAAAATTGTTTGGTGTGTAAAATGATTATAGGCCATTTGCTTAAAAGAAGGGAGTTTTCGAGGTTTCCTATTTGAACTCTTTGTTATGCCCCGTTTGCTGTTTGGTGCATTTAGTATGCTAACCTATGAAATGCTATTCACTCAAAACGTTATACCATCCACAGGAGCGGCAGACGTTAACTTTGTTCCGAACGACAAAACAGGATACCGGCACTTATCAATGCAACGCAAGCAACGCGGTTGGCTGGGACATCATGGAGTACGTGGTGCGCGTTCGAGGTGAGTTGCTACGATAACTATCTGCGTTTCTGATGGGAGTGTCACAGTCATAAGTCCATGCAGCATGACGTAGCTGTTGCCGCAGGAAGTAAACCTCCCGCACGGATTGGTTTATGGTTGGTCACGACTGCGCCGTTCCTTAGCTTCTTGAATTCTACGTGGTGGATGATTTTCAGTATTTCATGTCGATTAAAGATCGCGACAGCCTATGAGATAATGCTTCTGTCCCTTAGGGCTTGCGCATTTACCACCGACCTATGAAAATGGTTATAAGCCATCGGGATTTTGCGCAACGCGTAAAACTTTCAAGTTGTAATGAAACGAAGTCGATGCTGGACTACAGTACCACAGTACTACAGTACCATGCATGGAAATCGGTAATGACAACCCCCAAAATATCCGCTTGGTAAAAAACAACCGAATCTGTACAGTATAAGCGACCAAGATGCAAGCCACTGTGTTCTCGACTGTACTGAGAGGACACGAAAACCCGAGTCAGCACGCCAAGTCACACGAGTGTTTTTCTATCACCACTTAACCGCATCTAATGGTGTGGGTTCTGTGTGCAGGGAAAGGCCCGTTGATACTCATGTCAAGCAGGTTCGGGCAAAGGCGTAGACAACACAAGCTGAGTGTGGCAGGTGCTTATAGGTCATGATCGCGGTGACCTCACGGTGGATGAAGTCGAGGTGAATGACATGAGGACATGGGTTACATATGAAGCAGTGATCAAGTAGCAGCCAGATCGGCTTAGGTGCGACAGACGCGGGTGCGGTAAATCTTCGGGGTGCAGGTGAAGGATTGGGCAGACAGAAGGCAAACCGGGTTTAGCAATTGTGACTAACGTAGTTGCGGCGAATCCACTGGCGGTGCAGGCAAGCCGGGTTGGCAGATGTAGCAGCTAGTAGTTGCAATGATCTTGAGCAACATCCAACATCAGATCTCTGGTGATATTGCCCTTTACATATGGAACAATAGTATCATGTAGATAACAAAGCCACAAGACTGGCATTTCCCGTGGGATGGTTTGTGTGAATTAGGTGGGTCTAAAAATGTGACAATAAAGTGAAGCGCGCACATGTGGACTCACAAGAATATCCACGTTAACACACAAATAGATCCGTTTATTCCGCTTTCATGTGAGTTGATGAGCGCAATACTTGTCTGCTTTTTGTCGTCACTCGATGAAAAGAACACAAATCAAGTCATGCGGATGGTGCGAGGCATCGTCAAGTCGCTTTTAAAAATGGGTAGCGTAGGCGCAAGAATGACAACAGCTTCACGGCGGAAGAATTTGAGGGGAAAATAATTCTGGCGGCATCCCAGTTCACTGTATTCCGTGGTCAGTTTCAGCTGGTGACTCCTCAGTTTTGAGTTACGGCTAAGTTTTGTAGTTGGCGACAAGCGTGACCGAGGTTTTTCGAGATCTGGTACGCTCGAGTGCAATCACCTCGTAGACCGCGATAACTTCCGCTGTACACTACTGTGGTTTTCAGTCGTAGATGGTAGACAGGTAGAACAATGCATCCACGTTTTTGGTTGCTCTTCACTGCGTGGTCCCCAGTGCAACCGGATCGCGTTTTAATCAATGTTGCCAATCTGAATCGTGTACGCTACATGGAGCTTCTTATATGCCTCGAGCATTTGGGAGAATATGGTGGGGTCGAACAGCTCCAACGCCCTCCGTAAGAGACCAACTTGTTGGTTCATGTTTCTGCACGCCTTCATGAGCTGCGCCAAGCAGCCGAAGTAGTCTGGCATCATCGCTCCAAGGTCGCACTTCTGTGAGGTGGTCTTCAAGCTTGTCTGCCTTCGTGCGCTTGTGGCAGGCATTTACAGCTTTACACTTACCTGTGTTGAACGAAGTATATTTTTCTTTGGCCATTCAAAAACGATCTAAGTCTCTTTGCAGCAGATCGTGATCCTCCTGATCACGATCGCCCGACATATCATGATGCCACAGGTGAAAAGTAGGGAATTCGATTCAGTGACATGCACAAGATCGTTGATGAAGACCAAAAATAAGCACGAGCCCAACACCGATTCTTGTGGAACGCAGCGGTTCACACCAATAGGATCAGGAAATAAGCCCTGTACAAGAACCTGAAAGCGCCGCCAAAGACGAAAGTTTTTGGTTCATCCGAGGATAGTTTAACCGATTCCGGATGCTTGCAGCTCGTGAAGGAATCGGTGATCTAATCCGTCGGATGTTTTAGTAAAGTCGCGATAATTGACATCAGTGCCAGTCCCAATATTCCCTGTTTCTGTCCAGCTGCCAGAGGGCTCGATTACGCATACACGCAGCTCTAAAGCTCTTACTTCAACAATAACCAATAGCCAAGCAAGGCACTTTGCCAACACTACCTGGTGTCGTTAGTGAGCCGCAGCATTTAACCCATAACTTGCCTTTTTGGAATTCAAAAAGACAGATGAATAAGAAAGTCTATCTCGTTAGCATAACCCTATAATCTTTGCTCTGATCCAACACTACTCAGCGTACTAGCAGGTCATGTGCTTCAATTTGCAATTCACTCTCCGTTTCCGAACCCGCAGTAGCATCCATCCTATCTGCATAGAAAGTATGCAAGTGTGATTTTTGCGCGCACTCTGAGATCTTTCTGCTTTCCACCTCGTGTCGCCACAAAATAAACTTTTCGCTAATACAAAGGTGTCCCTATCAGTGCTTGATCTTGCATTGTAGCTTTCCTGAACCTCCCTGTCTTAATTTCCACTTAGATCGCAGAGCTTCTGGTTCCTGCACTCAGATAATCTTCTTTACGAGCTTTGGATTTTAATACAGCATCATCCCCCATTTCCTGGTCCACGCAACGGTGCGAGATTCTGCTAGTCACTCGTCATTCAGTAGTATCACTGGCACCTTTCTATCCTCCAGCTAGCAGGCTTACAGCCACAGCATCAATAAGTCTTACTTCCGTGTTGGCACCCCTTTTATCTACTCTTTGGTTTCTCTGCATTGTCGCATTACAAGCTGCTGTTGTCCGGACAGCATTCCTTCTTTCAGGTTATCTCCTTCAGAACGTCCTAAGATGTTTGATATTTTTTCTCTCCTCTTCGACTGCTACGCAGTAAATGGCCAATCAAAGTCCTTGCAGAGTTTACCTTTTCTGTTTGCACAGTGGTTTACGAGGGATAAGACACTCCATTTTGCACGGAATCTCACCCAACGAGCATAAACAACACTAGTGTAGACATGAACAGCATGCATTTTCAATAGATTATCCGCCCACTAATTTTGTTCTATAAGGGCTGCTATCCTGAGTGATATCTGACGATCGCCGACACGTGCGTCATATGCCTACGCCTTCCCACGGTACCCGGTTGGGGTATCGAAGTTGCTGCTACCCTGCCGTTTCTGTGAGACCACCTTTTGTCGTCGTAGGCACGGGATAAGGAAGTGAATCCATCTTTCCCAGCGAATGGGTCTTTTGTCCATTGTCATCCTAGCAGCATGTGCCTGTCAAGTGTAGTGAGTACACTGTCACCTGGCTCCACCCGAAGAGTTAGTAAATGTTTCCGTCGTCCGTCCGGCTCCACACAGTTCTGCTCCCTAGGTGCAGCCTCCTGGCTTGTTGGGATTACGTGTCAACCAACCCAAGAGTACAGTGGACTGAGGCAAATGGCTGAACAAAGAACGAACACTAGCATCGCCGTGGGCGAGGCAATCCAGGCGGCGGCCGAGGCGTTGTTGCGTAGTTTAACCCAATTCAGAGCAACTAAACGAGACCGGATTTACGGTGTAATAGTTGTTTGCATACCTGAAAAGCAGTTATCTCTTCAGAAAATTCGGTACTCATAAACTGGCAACTCGGTGTTCGTTGAAAGTTGTTACGCTTACGGGGTTTAGTTTTCGATTCTGTAGGGCCACAGGTGTTGCCGGCAACCTAACGAAGTAGACCTAGTTTTTGCTGGATGTTGTTCATTCCTGGAAAGAGTGGCAGGCATTTACTAATACTGCTACAAAACTATGTATACGAGCGCCATCTAACATACGCAATCTACGAACGGCGGTGTAGAAGCTAATCTGTTCCCCAGTAAGGAAAACCAGGAGGATACGCTTCTTGATTTTGGGTGCTAGTCAAGCAATTTAATTGAAGAACCGGTCCACTAGACCAGTGAAACTCCATAGTTGTCTTATACCAACCTGTTGGTGACGGATTCACTGCCGCAACTCTTAAGCACACGTGCGAGAGGAGCCTTCATCACCGACGCACCCGAATGCAGGAGTGCGGAGGAAAAACACTTTCAGCGGAGATTTTTTCAACCCAGAAAAATGCGAGTACGTGGTCACGCAGCCACTATTATGTAACATTAGCACTTCAAACTGGAAGTTTGTCAAACCAAACTGGACGCGTTTTAGATTTGTCTTGGAATGTGAACAACTGGTTGGCAAGGAAACAATTAGCAAGGTTAAAAACCACTGGCTGATGAAAGATCTTCCTGATGTTACTGTCATCAGACTCATTGTTCTACATAGGACGTAATTTGTGCAGCCCTGCTTAATTACTTTTCCTATGTTCTGTTAAATCACCTCGCTTAGCATCTAGCCTTGGAGTCGGGTTAGTAAGTAAGCAACGCCTACACCATCAAAAACTCCTTTCCTACTGGGTCTAGCGTGTACGAGTAGCGCAACAGGAAATTCAGCTGATAAGATGAGCACGGGGTCCTCTTTAGATTGTTAGAAATGTAGATCTTGTCGTTATTAAGGATCGGTTATACAACATTCGTCCCCCTCTGCAATATATATATGCTACAATTCTTTGACGAACATTAAAAAGGTTGTACCACTGTAGATGTCATCCTCGATGATCTTTGATTGAATGACTCCTTATTTATTCAGTACCACAAAAATCACCACCATACGGCCTCTGACTGTGGGTAGCATGACGGCTGCGTTCATCATTCTTGTTGTGTGGGACTGTGTACGTTGCAGCTGAAGGTTGAACCTCCTCTCGTCAATGAAGTTGAACCTCTTTCCCTGTAGTCCATGTGCCAAGAAGCCGACTGTGAGAACTGAATGTTAGCCAAACACCGAAACCGCACTGGACGCGGCGTGCTTCGCTTGATTGGTAAACGTGTTTCACGCAGGTGAAGAAGCCATCAAAACGGATCTCTGAGAGGTGGTTAGTGGCTCGCTGTTTTAGCAGTGGAGCAGGAACTTACACTCGTGTCGTCGATTTATCCGCAACCACAGTGACGTAAGGTGCCGTTCCATCAGCGCCTGGTTATTCTGCGGCTGGACTGTGAGTGTAGGTTCAACGCGGCAGAAACCGCAAGACGCCACACATTATGTACCACGTTACCCATCTCATTAACGAGCGGTATGTGTTTCGAGTGGTGAAGGAATTTGCAAAATCTGGCAGCGTTTGCAAAATCCAAAAACCGGACGGTCTCGAAACGTCAGAGATGAAGAAGCAGCTTGCCCGGTTATGCAAGAGGTATGTAGTAAAAGCCATCTCATCACTCGGCAACTGGCACAACATTGCGAAACCACACCGTATGCTGTGCATCGGACATTGAAGGAAAATATTTCCAACGGTACAGTGCACTGCAGGTGCAAGTGTTGAACACTTGCGATTCACAGAAGCGCTTAGAATTCGCCCGTTGGTTTTTAAACAACCTGAATGTACATTCCATTGTGCTCACCGATGAGGCGGTTTTCCGTCTGCAAGGCGAAGATACGCAACATGTTTAGGCAACTACCAACCTACGGCAATGTAGCGTTTCACCTGCGCAACATAGCGCGTAGCTCATGGCCTGGGCTGGTTTGACTGGTCTAACAGTCATTGGACCCTTTCTTTTTCTAGGAGTGTGTCCGGTAGGTTGTTGTTTAACAGTACCAATGTCTGACATTTCTTAGCATCATCATACATGGAAACGTTGCAGAGCAGCGTCATTCCGCAGCTACAGTCGGAAGGATTAATGAATAACTTTTGGTGGCACCACAATGGCGCACCTGCACATTCGGCGCAATCGGTCCATGCCTACCTGAACGAGACGTTCGGTGGACGTTGGATCGGTCGCGGAGGATCGATAGAGTGGCCTGCGCGATCACCCGATCTGAAACACATAGATTTCTTCCTATGGGGATACTTGAAGCGTGGAGTCTAAAGAACAAAACCCAACAGCCTGATGAACTGAAAGAGAACACTGTGAACGAATGTAGCCGCATTTTGCCAACACCATCCGACGAATGCTACTCTGCAGACAAAAATGACGGAGGGCGCTTCAAACACCAACTTCGGTGATATTTCAGATATTTCACACATTTCATGTAAATATAAATAAAGAACTACATAAATACATTTTATCAATTACACTCGAGAAACACCATCAAAGGCCTGATCAATTTGTACAACAAGCAGTTGTCCGACTATGAGGACAATAGTTGCAATCATGGCTAAATTGGTGTGTTGTCTAATGGTGTCACCAGTGCGTCGGGTAGACTGAAAGGTAAGAACCTTGTCCAGTCAACTCAAGTCAAGGATTGCCTTTAAGCACCCATGAAGGGTGAAGTTGCAGCTATAACACGCACACGCTAAAAACGGCAAAACGAACAAGACTGCAACCTTAGAAAGTGCTCCTGGCAGTATGATTCCCCTTAGCAGCGCAAGCTGCCTAATAAAAGCTTACGGGTTTGCTAGAAGCCAGTCATGAGGCTCAAACAACTTTTGTCTCGATTGTCTTTTGCCATGTATTGCGATAGTAGCCGGCTCCCATCGGACGGTCATTGCACAGGGTCAGGCTGTTCTTCACAATAGCTAGAACAGTGATCCATTAGTCATTTCGCAGGGATCCCTTTTGCTGGCTTCCTCACTTGCTTGAAGGCCAACTACCAATCGATCGAAGCATGACACGTCCAGTGCGGCTTCAGGGTTTGGCTAACGTTCACTTCTCATAGTCGAACGGTCTCTGTTTCCTTGGTCTGCCCTGCGATCGTAGACACCCAGGTTCCACCACTGTGTCCCATCCTACTCCTGCCGACACTTTCGGCAAAGCAATTTGCGCATTAGACAGTGGGCGATTCAGCGTGCCGATGTAGGTCAGCTCGTGAGTGCAGTCGCTCCTAGATTCGGACGTGATTTCAGAAAACACCCCAGGTCTCTCTGCCTGCACAATTCGGGCTGAACTAGCCTGGCTGCAATGCAGTTTGGACATCGTCTGTTATGTTTGAAGAAACGTAGTTTGGCTATCGGGTTATGCAGATTGGGTTGTAAACATACAGTTGTAAGTGAAAGTGGGCGATTCCGAGGCCGCAACGTAGGCTAACTTTCAGATAGAACGTTGTACGCCGTCTAACGCAAGTCAAAACAATGACGTAAGTAAACACGTGTGTTCTGATGAACTCGAGTGTTTGCTGCTAACGTGAGTAAGTGTAGACACAGCTTAGGTGTACTCGGCTTACACGGTGTTGTGGGAATGTGCGTTCCCGTTGCAATGTGATCTAACAGTATTTAGCACAATTATGTCTGCTCGTCAACCTGTAATCTTCGGGTTACGTCGAACTTTGAAGGTGACTGGAAGTTGTCCACCTATCCAGAGCCCGTACGAATTGCAAGTTCAATGCAATTGAACTTTTTCTTAACCAAAATTCACAGTATGGCCAGAAATGTTTGGCAATGCTTCTGCCACATGGATTGTCCACATAACTACTCCAGGCCTTAGCGAAAGGACTTTCGACTTAACCAGGTTTAAACCCTGCCGTTAGTTGCTTTGACTTCCTCCTTATCATCGTAACCTTGTTTTGTTTGTATCGGAGTCAGACGATTATCCATATCTCCACTAGTCCCTTCAGAAGACACTCCTAATTCCTTACGGACACTGGTTCCGAATTCCCCATCTTCCTTTTGATTTAGTTCCACCGGCCTTCGATACCTCGAACGTACAGCCAGAGGTCCACTGGTTCGTCAACCAAACGAGGGCTTTGGATTGCACGCTTATGGACGGTGTCGATCCACCACCCCAGATCAAATGGGAACGCCACGGCTCCCCAGTGACATCCGGCCCTGACGTTCAGATTTCTGCGGACGGCAGTAGACTCACTGTGCCACTGGTTCAGCCTCGAGACGCTGGCGAATATGTGTGCCACGCGCAGAATGAGGTTGGAAAATCCACGCAGATATTCAATGTGTTAGTATACGGTGAGTGATTATACCTACTGGGTCAGAATCGGTGCCGTATTGACCTGATGCCTAGTGTACTAAACTTCTACATTTTTTGTCATTTTGCATTGTAGTGAGACCCAAATTTATTGATCCAATTCGACGAACCCACATACAAGCCATTCAAAATGAAACGATACAACTGACTTGCGAGGCTACCGGGGAGCCTCGACCTCGGTTTGCTTGGTTCAAACGCGACGTGGAGATATTACGTCCGAAAGTGGGTTCACCGCTGCAGTACTCTGGATCCGATAGATCAAGCATTGCTATTCTGAGCGGTGATCAAATATTACAAATCTCCAACATACAGCTTGATGACAAAGGCGAATACACATGTACTGCTAGTAACGGTGGTGGTACGATTGAGAAAAAGTTTAACGTCACAGTAGTAGGTAAGGTTTTATTCCTATAAGATTTTGGCTTACCACTGTGTTCCGTCTGTATTTGATGCCATCCCAAGCTGCGTTTGTTAATACCTAGATAATCATGTGGCGCATCATCGAATCAGATCCACCAGTGCCTTTTGATCAAAAGTAACTCCGTTGACCTAGTGCCAACGACTCAGCGGTCCCAGCTTGATTAGCTTGCCTGATCTAGTCTAATGAGCATTGCTGAAGGCTATGATTGGAAACTGAGTTTAATAAGAGCTAAGATTTACCATTTGTCATACATCCGACAAATGGGAGTGACTGTTCGAGTTAGGAGAGTTGAGCTTTACCATGTTTAGTTCCCCCGGCATTTCTAATGTTATGAAATCTAAGCGTAAGAGTTCAGCGGCTGATTTTCTGGATATCGTTGTTGTTGTTGTTGTTGTTGTTGTTGTTGTTGTTGTTGTTGTTGTTGTTGTTGTTGTTGTTGTTGTTGTTGTTGTTGTTGTTGTTGTTGTTGTTGTTGTTGTTGTTGCGAGTCTCAGGAATGTCTCATACGTGATATTTGAACTTTCCACAGGCTGTGTGATAAAGCGCAGTCTCCGATGCTCGGATTATACTTCTCTTTGATCCCAGTCCGTACCGTGCGTGAAATAGCGCGCATTGTGCTACTCACGTGACGCTGTGGAAGTAGTCACCTCTTAAGCTGATCTGCACACACTCCATTGAATACAGGCTTCATTGTCTGATTAACATATGACTGCTAGGGTTCTTTGTACGAGTTTTTTTGAAACTCGGTCGGACCCGGTCTATACATACCTCTTGGTGGGCGGCCGATAAGGGAATCAGATGAATACTGGTTTCTGTATGAGACTGAAAGGTAACTAGTTAATTCACCACCTGGCAACCGTACTGAGAAGATTGCCCTGTGATTGTTCCCACTCACTAACGGTAGTGAGAACCGACCGACCAACGACAAGGTTTCAGGGGTTCTTTTACATAGGAAATAACTTTGTCATATGACAGGATGCACAAACGTGAAGACCAGCCAGAGTGCGGAAAATGTGCGGTCAAGTAAAAGCAATAACGACTGAACAAGTAGAGAACCAATCAGGTGCAGACAAAGAGCGGAAAGTAACACTGTTACCGTCAGAGGAGGGCTGTGACAGAAAGCGAAAACGACAACCCTAAACAGCCGATATGGATAAGGAAGTGCTACATTAAAACAAACGTCAGTGAACCAGCGGAAAGAAGCAGAAATCCACAATCATGAACGGTGATACAAGCATATCTGCATTTGTATTGTTCCCTAGCAGTTCGTCCGGGACTTCGCAGTAAACAAAGGTGGATAGTAAACTTACGGAAGGAATGCAGCTGATCCTCCTTTCTTTCAGTCTGAATAAGGCTGCAATCGCATGGAATTCATAGTTCTATTTCATTCACCTTCCTGTCGCTTGACTTTTGACTTTGTGGGGTTACACAGGGCCACCAATCTGGCCCTCTTTCTGCAAGTTTCCGTCCTACTTGTTCTGTAGTACACTGCTTTATCTCAAAGTATCCAGCATGAAGCACATGAGCTTCACTATCGACTTCAATGTGTAGCTTATCCAAAAATGAAGGTTATTCGGACGATAACGCTTTGGTTGTAACCATGTGTCGTGCCACTTTTCGGATATGTATGCTGCTGCTGTGCATGTAGAATGAGTGTGGCTCGGCTCCGTTGATGAAACACATCCCATCCACATCCGGTCTTATTCCTTTGGGTTTACACTGGATACAGGGTCTGTGGATGAAGCTTGGGGTAGTACAGCACGAGCCACCAATAGTCTTTGTGTAGGTATAAGTATCCTGTGGTTGTCCTACGGAGGCAACAGTGACAGCCAATTCCGGAACCGGATGCCGCCGACAATGCGCGTTCACACGATTTACACTTGTCTGATCGAACCTGGAATTGTCGATACCGAAGTAGGTGACCCACCACCGAGTGTTAATCTGTCAGACAAAGTAGATGCTAATGTTACCTTAACCAGTCACAAGTATGAGTCCCAAACTTCTGTAATCCCGATAGCAGTCCACTGGATGTGTCACAAAAAGCGAATCTTAAGTGCGACCTTCACTGCATGCGCAACGTAGCTACTTGGCCCCTGAGTTTTAACCACGCCACTCCACTTGATCACAGCTTTTGCAGCCCCCAGTAGTCAAATAATCACAGCCTACGAGGGGTGTACAAAAGAAACCGAACTTTTGCTCTAACCTTTTTACATTGTTCATTGCACAACCTTTTAAGCACTTTCCTCCTCAAAGTGATCCCCTCTACTGTCAATACCCCGGTGCTTCCATTTTGAAAAAGCTTCCTGGAAAGCACTGTCTGAGACGGCGCGCAGGTCTCTCGTCGCATTTTTCTGAATGTCCTCTATGGTTTGGAAACCACGTCCTTTCAAGGTGGTTTTAAGTTTAGGAATCAGGAAATATCCTGTAGGGACTAGGTCTGGAGAATACTGTGGATGGGGCACAACGACAGTGTGGTGTTTTGCTAGATAGCTGCGAACAAGGAGCGACGCGTGAGCCGGCGCATTGTCATTATGCAACATGCAAGTCTGGTTTCCCCATAGTTTTTGCCTCTTCCTGCCCACAGCACCTCTCAAACACGCTAGCATTTGACGGCATGATCCTACCCTGATATCCACTTCGTCACCAACATCTCGAACAGTTAAACGACGATTTACACGGATCACTGCACGAACTCTCTTGACCTGGCCGCCGTCTTTTGATGTGGAATGTCTTCCAGGCTTAGGATCGTCACCGACCGACATCCAGCCGCATTCAAATCATTAAATTAAGTATAACACTGCGTGAGACTCATACAGTCCTCCCTGTATGTCTCTGTAAAAGTTTTCTCAAGTTCGTAGCAAACTTTCGCACACACATTGTTCTTCAAGCCCTATTATTGTCTCCTTGGCACTAATTCAACGCACAACTTGTGCACGCGCTCACTTCAGCGACTGTAGCTACCAACTAACAGTCGGAGCGAAATGCGGCTAATGGCAATTTGTTGTTTAAACAAGCCACCATATGCGCTCAGCAGCCGTAGCGCCCTCCCCCTGCCGGTTAACCTACTATTTCGAAAGCTCGGTTTCTTTTGACAACCCCTCGCACATTTGGGAAGCATCCAACAAGTTACAGCGTTTCCATCCCAATGACACAACCAGTGCTTGTGCTATTTTGTGGTAGCTATTTCGAAATTAGAGGACATCTTTCGTTGATTTCATCCCAGTGGTGCAGTGCTCCATCAAGTACAAGCCCCTGATTCAGTCGTTCTTAAACTGTTGTACACTCTACACATTTGTATTCCAGTACCACCAACAATAATCAAGCGGGACATAGGACCAGAGGAACACCGAACGCGTGAATACGTTCCCGTCACATTTCATTGCTTAGTACGTGATATCAATGTGACGGACCCTGAGATTACATGGACCAAAGACGGTGCGCCGGTTTTGTTATCCGCCGATGGGGATTACTTTTTGATACATGATCAAGGACAGGGTTTGACTGTGGTTCGTCCGACCGCAGCGGAGGATGGAACTTATCGCTGCGCGGCACGAAACAGGGCTGGAGAAGACAGCCACAGCTTCAAACTATCTGTGATCGGTGAGTATGTTTAGGTCAACAATAACTTTCGTTTGCAAGCTTTCAATATTATCTGGTTCCTTGGGGTTGCTGTGATACTCGTGAGCAGATAATTCGCATTCCAAGCGGCCGGTGTGGTGTCCGGCTAGTTCTATGACTGGCACATTAGTCAGATATGAATGAGAACTTAATAACTACTGGCTAGTGGCCGCAGTTATAGATAGACAATACGTAAGTGCCAAGACACCCGATTAGGAAGCGATATAGTCCAGTGGACGAGTACGGCTCAAGCTAAGAAGTCCACTTCTACCTGTCCATGTTTAGACGTTTAACACAAGTTACGTCGAGATCAGTTTTATGTACCCGGATGGGTGCATTTTCAACATTTTAAACTATTGCGTATGAACCAAAACCGCATCGCTGAATATGAAAAATATCATAAATGAAAACCTAGTTGGAAAAGAGCGCGCGGATGTCATTCGACCAAACTGTCCGATATCTAGGTGCAACCACCACATATTGGTGGGAAGAATTGGTGGTATTTTTTATCTGATTAATGAGGCCGTTTTACTTAACAATTGGTTTCATTTGTCCGAACTTAACAAATCGCGAAATGTGTGTGCTATCCAGGACAGTTGTACGAAGCATCAGCGGAATAAAACGGTATCAGTAATGTTGAAATAAGCCGAATAAACTGTCAAAATATTCCTACAAACTTGCTACGTCCACGGTAGATTAAGCAAAGTGACTTTTCATAGGAAATGGTAATGGCCACCATAGAGTTCCCCCTTCACTTTAGCGCTTATTTAGACTAATTTCAGTCACTTCTCGTACGTGAATGCTGGTCATTACAGAATAGGCCTTATTCACAATGAAGATGCTTGATGAAATAAGCACAGTCGTTTTGTTTTTCTCTCCGGGGCAGCGGTATGCCCATTTGGAATTATCGCCATTTTACAGCGGAGCCGACCCCTCATATGTATGGAGTCACTCGTGTGCTAACCTCTCGTATCCTGCTGGAGATTGCATAGCCCTAAATTTTTCCTTCTTTCCTACCCTGTGGTGTTTATACACTCATTAACCCTAGAAATTTCAATCCGCCGCTCTAGTTAGAATGCCCTAAAACGGTCATAATGACCACATCACCGTATTTGTTTATTCCAACTTGTTTCTGATTTTTCTTAGTTATATATATTAAGGACAAAGTGCAAAGATTTGTAACAAAATAGTCATCCTACTAAACATCACTTTTTTTAAAGGTTGAATATACTTGTACTTATTTATTTACTTTGCACTTGAAACAAGCGATAACTCTATCAAAGCGTCTCCAGATTCGTAGCAATCGATAGCTGTAACTTCTCGTAAAACCTCATCGGTTTTTCTCTTCCTATGAGCCACTGTGAATAAAGGTAGTGTCTGAATGGGAAGACGTAAACCGAATTAGAAGAATGCGGTCATTGTGACCGCCTACGGCGTTTCTGGGTAGCAAAAGCACACGCCTTTGTTCCTTCTCGAAAGCCAAAACAGATGTTAAACTTAAACTTAAAAATATTAAAAGTCATGGAGTATAGTTGAAATTTATTTACGAATTTAGCAAATATGCACCTATAACAACGCGCAGTGGTCAAAATCACTGTTTCAGGCATTCTATTGTTAGTAATGCTAAGCGACTGCCTCCGGTAGTTTAGTACAATGAACAATAAGGTATCACTGTTACAAAAGCACTATGATGGTAAGGGTAATAGTAACAAAGCAAAATGTCTTTCTCATCAGTTTGACGACCTATCGCTTTAAACATTCTACTGCTCGACGATTACGTGAATTTAGAATGAAATTTTGGCATACAAAACGATGTACTGAACACTCATGTTTCGCTTCTTCTGTGAAAAATTAAAAATTCTCTCTTTTCTACTACTTCCAACCTTTTAAATCCAGTATGATGGCATTATTAGGATATTCCATACTAGCACAGTGTATGTGACGAAGTGATGGGAGCTGAGACAGGTGCCCAGTAGTTTTGAAAATATCCAAATTAGGGAAGGAGCAGTTGAATCTTGGTAATAATTGCAAGGTTGGCAAACCCGAAAGGAATTTAATTACTTCGGCACTTTATTGTGCACTAGTTCAAGCGATTATCCCTGTACTTTCTATTGTGGTTGAGTTCCGGTAAATGGCGGCTTATGTGCTTAGGCTGTGTCAGTATTTGTTCCATCAACGTGAGATCCCCGAGTAACCCTTGGTGGCTTCCTGCGAGAACTCCCAGTATCTTCATTCATTTCTTGTGGGAGAGATGGCTAGACCCTTAACATTTATCGATGCTCTATGGTGTGGTGTCACCAGCGCCTCGAGGTCACACCTCAACCAATTTTCCAACGTCTAGATAAAATGTTCGACAAACAGGCTCATGGAAGAGTTCTGCATCAGTAGGAATATTAACGACTCGAGGCTCCCGAACGCCTTCCGCAGCAGATTGAATTGTTAGTTGTATCATTTTACAGATGCCACAGCTCGTTTCGGACGATTAATGTCATTACTTATGAGCAGACCAGGGTGGCCTTCCTGGGAACTTGTCTGCAATGTATGCATCCAAAGCCTGTAATTATTGGCAGTCCTATGGCGTGTTTGAACAACCCCCATTCTTCTACAATGCTGGATAGGAAATGCGGACCTTATCACTTCGAAATCGCGTCAAGACCGCGCTGGAGCCCATCGTGATCGTTCTCTGCTCACTTGCCATATCTTGACATAATATGCAAATAATAGACATCAGAAGCGGATACTTCGCTAGATCGTTAATCAAAATCAAGAATAGGCGAGGCCCTAGCACGGAGTTTTGGGGTGCACTGCACTCCAACTCAATCGTGCCCGACAGGGATTCACGAACTCTCACCTTCAACTGATGTTCATGTAATAGATTGCCTATCCAAAATTGGGTTGCTGATGCCATATTTCTCAGAGCGCTCGGTGATCTGTGTTATCAAACACTTTGTGAAGTCCAATCAGAAGGTATCAACCCCATCTTCAAAATCAATTAGTTCGGTCTGACTGCCGATTTTCTTTAATAGGTTTGTAGTATCCTGGCAAAGTTTGTAGAATCCACGTTGCTCCGGTACCATTATGCTGTGTTTTTCCGGACAGTGCATCATTGTATCAACGATGGTTGACTCCATAAATTTAAGAGGCAAATATCAGCGTTACTGGGTGGTAATCAGTAGTCACTACGACGGCCTTCCTTGGGCATAGGAGATTTGATGTAGCTGGAAATTCGGTATCACCCACATGCAAACATTGTGCTCCAAGATGCCTCTCTACATTGCTTGCTCTCATTAGGTAGAGATAGTAGGCCTCGAACACGGGACCACTGGATGGCAGTGGGGACCTCTGTCACTTTAACAAACAGATCACGTAGGGCAACACTTGGCAAATGGCTTAATGATTGATTGGACGGTTATTTAGTTGTGCTCATTGTGTGCTTAGATTTCGACGCATAACCTAAATGTGGACCCACATTTGATCGGAAATGAACCTTAAACAATTATATCACCGAAACCGTAACATATTAAACAGAAGAATATTGGTGGTATTAGAACTGTCTTCTGCTGTCCCACATGGCCCAGTTGCATAAGCTGCTGGCTTGCGGTGCAATCGGCCAATGGTCAGGGTTCGTTTCCAGCTGGAGCCGGAGGATGCGTACTACTGACCAGATCCTACAGGTCGTAAGCGCCCTAGTGCTTTACCGGGAATGTGAAAAAAATGTCTTATTTGGGAGTCGTTGCGAAGAAACTCGATGGAGTAAGCTATTGGCCGTTAGAATGGCCCAGCATACCGAGCATAAATCAAAGCACATGGGTCGCAATGTTGTGACTGCTGCCAGATGTTGTCACCTGCATAATTAGGCCGGTATGCTAGGGCACAGGTAGAGCAGACCAACTGTTCACCGACCACTCGGGCGCATTTTGCTTCACTGTATTTGATGCCAAGCGGAACAGTGTTTATTTTGTGTCGCCAGAGACGTCTTCGCCCCACGACCGCAGGAAGAGAACTTCCAAGACGCATCTGGAAAGAATTGTATGTCTTGACTCCTACCTGCTTAAATAGTTTTGTGAATGGGCTGGAGTGAAACTACTAAAAGACATTCGAGCCAACCATATTGCTGAAAACATGTAAGCAGTATGAAGCAAATGAGCGCGGATCAATAAATGAACCAATAGGGGGCACCCACCGCACGAAAAGAGAGAGTGTTTGTAGCCAACTGGAACTGGGATCCGATGGCAGAAACAGTGATTACAAGCAGCCAATGAAATTAGCGGAATGATGTGTTTAAACAAACCTCAGTAACAACGATGGCGGAAGGAATAATATCGGTACTTGATAATGTGTTCCAGAAAATGTATATTCATCAAGTGTCCCATAAACGTCTGGTGACGGCTACTACTATGATAGAACACTGCATCGGTTCAATCACTTGGTCTAGATGGTTAATAATTCTCACGATCGGTGTAACAGTTGAGCACCTGCCCTTTGGGTATCGTATGCCGGTTTGTCATGGGGAAGATACAAGTCACTTCTGTGAGGAATTTACTTTTGAAAGATGACAGAGACACGAGTTACCTGCTGCAACATGGCCGACAGAGTACCAACTGCATATTGCGCGTAACCCTGGTCCACGATGCACTGTGCATACGACCATGTTCTACCAACGACCTCGATAGTTCGGTTCATCCCTCCCACACCGGCTCTACTGGTGTTACCTAGCGGGGAACAGCATGCCTACTTTATGCGCGCTACTGACCGCTTACCAAAATTGGTCGTCGTTCTGGACATTTGTACATACATGCACTATGACGTAAACCAGATAGTTATTTAGCTAAAACCGTTGAGCATTCCCAAAGTGGACATATCTAGAAAAGCTCCAATATCCAATAAAATTAAACCGTTTGCGCTAATTCCTGAGTGTGATAGCGTCTTCTGCCATTCACCTTCAGGGTTCAACCAATTCACAAACTATCATACCAGGGCAGGTTACAAAGGGGGTTAGTCTCGTTGCGCTTTCGGATTCAACCCGAATTATCCAATCATTCATTGTCGTTGTTGCCCTTGCTCCTAACTGACTCTGACAGGCAGTTGACATCAACGTCCAAGAATATTTCAATTCAAATAACCTGTACTTAGATCAGGCTCATCTATTGGCTCGATACTCTTGTGGAGCCTCAGGCACGGGCGTATCTTGCATGTAGCTCATTTGTCAATTATAACTGTATTGCGTCATTCAAGAAACGGTACTTGAGATAGAGCGCTCTTGGTAAAACAGAAGGAAGAAGATACCCACGTACGTCTCAGTCCACTAAATAGATACGATGGTCAGCAGCATCTACAAGTGTCTAAATAAATCAGGAGGCGGTGGTTTTCATCGTCATTCAAGGTTTTCCCCGCATAGGAAAATATTAAATGGAGATACCGATTTTAGTTTGTTGTATTAAAACACGTGATCCTGGGGAACTAAGCAAGTGATCTATCATGCACGCTGGTGTCCGGAAGCACTAAAGTCACCATCAAACGTGATCTGATAGCACTGCGCCGATAACTCGCCTCAATGTAATAGTCCTACCGAGGAATGAAATAAATCTCAGGGGATATTCATGATATATCTTGGTAGTACCCAGGAAAAATGTAAGAACCCCAGGCGCGAACATTTATTTCCTATGACAGACATCAACTACATGCACAACCTGCTAAACGCCCCACTCATCTTCGAATTCTTTCCTGGAGGGTGCGCGACGCGCGCAACTTCCAAATATATATCTAATACACCTAGATAAAATGTACACAAAACTTCTTCTTGTGTTGGAGCTTTCATATGGCCTGTTTTTCGTTCTTAAAATCTGGCTTTATCGGTACTTATATACTACTGATACATTGTACAGTCGTGCCTGCTTATGGCCTACCACACCGTTCTCTTTTCTGTACTTAGCTGCTCGTTAGATTAGAACGGAAGCCGGAGATAGGAGGCCGGATGATTAATCAGCGCTTGTCTTTACCAGTGATGCACATACCCGCCTTTATTATTGTCACCGATGAAATTACTCACCGGTTTGAGAATTGAGAAAGCTGAACACACATTGCATTTACTGGCTCGGAATTTTGGGCCACTGATAATGGTAAATCTTTCGGTATTGTAAGCAACGGGACGGCTGAGGCGCTCGGTCACCTTGCATCCATACTGGTTGTGTACTTTGCACATTTTCCTTTCGGAGCTTGTCGATATTATCAGGATACCTACATATTATACTTCGAGCTCGGACGGTGACCCAATCATCCCATCGGACGGCCGATCCGTCTTGTATTACGAAACTGTGTATGTTAATCATTTACGTATTGTGTTACGATGGAAGATAGCAATGGAACTATCGGCAAATCGCAACTTGTGTCCTCTGTCTATGTGCTATTTTCGATGTGGCGCGCTAGAATAAGCGTTGTGTTGCTTTTTACCCCACGGTAGTAATCCCCAGGGCCCATAGCCATACGCATAGCCTTTGTAGCAAATGGTGCAGACGGAGCCTGGTACTGCAGTGATGACAGCTTCAACGAATGATCACAACACCTAGGCTTTTCTAGACCCACCTTACGATTTATAACTGTCTGATAAGACCGAATAACGATGCAACTATGTGGTTGTAATAAGATTCATACCTCACTTCCGTCTACCGTTACCACCCGCGATGATTCGCCGTTGAACAATTTTATTTCATTGCTCATGATGGCGACGGAACGCAACTATAAGCCATAGAGGTGTGTGAAGAGTCACAATGAGGTGAGTCATATTGTTCGTGTGTCATCAACCTGGTTACCTTGTCTGACACATCACAACTTCTGTTGGTTTCTCTTTACACATAGCTGCCCCGCGTTTCCCTTCCGACTTTATCCGCTTCCGTGAAAAACTGGTTGTCCGGTTGGGGCAAGAAGCGGAATTCGAATGCCCTGTTCTGGGCTCCCCACCGCCGACTATCACTTGGTACTACAACGGAGTGGCATTGAACCCATTCACGGCTTCCCCTAAATATGTGTTTGGTGAGGATCAACGCGTACTACGGATTCCGACAACCGGAAGCAAAGACGCCGGGGAATACCAATGTTTGGCTCGAAACGAGGCGGGCAATGTGAGCAAACTCTACGGTTTGGAGGTGATAAGTAAGTGTGATCGTGAGAGTTCAGGTCATTTTCTGTTGGCGCCCGGTATCCATCACGTGACGAAACAGTGCACCTGTGATTGGTCACGATACCACGACATGAAGTTATCGAACCGGTAGTCGGTGATGAATATGAAAAAGGGCTTTATGGTGTAACTAGGATTGTTTTCGTTATCTGTATTGTTATACTCATGAGGAGCGGATTTTTTATGTATGCTCTTGGGGGGGTTCATCGCGGTAGCTTCCAAATCAGATAATCCTCCACATGCCCGGAAAAGCACTCGACGGCCGTTTCTACCAGTTGGGTCTAGTCAATAGTGTGCACCCCGCCGCTCCATCTGGAACCGAACTCATGACCTCTGGACAATGGCGAATTGTGCCACTACAGGCATTTGCACGCATTGTGTTACTCACCCAAGGTGTTCAATGCTAAAAGGTGAGGTACAATTCACCTTGAACCTTGCACACTATTGTTGATCAACCTTAGCACATATTGTAGGATTTTTCACATGACACATATCACCACAAACTTCCGTTTACGATAGCATCTCGCAGACTTTGTAAGATTACCCTATATTTTGAACTGTCATTCTTCATGGGCGAAAGCATTTCATCTGCTGTAACTAGTTATCTCTACAGTGTAAATAATAACCTACCGATGTAGAGTCAAGCTTCCGACGTTTGTTAACCCAAATGTTGTACTCGGTACCCCGAATATTAGATTGTGTGTTGCACTGTTGTCAGTGTCTGGTTACGTAGCGTAATGGTTGAGCGATGGCAGCCCATCTCTATCTATCTTACTTTGACATTCACGTGATTGTGGGCGTCGTTTAGCTTGTATGTGCGTTCTAAGTTGTCTATGCTGGTTGCATGCCAAGCGATGACTTGGTCCAGGGGAATGAAGTCCCTCACTTCGGAGCTAGCCTCGGTTGAAGCGTCACGGCTCCATGGTTGGGGTCCAAAAGACGGTGAACACGTTTGGCTGCATACACTTGCTGACATGGCAAGGAGCCGACCTCAGTGGCGTTTGTGCTGTGAGTTTCTTTGTCCCTTCCCATCCCTTTTAGCTTCCCCCTCCATCTACGATCTCATTTCCTAGGGTAAAACATAATAAATTTTTTTCTTTTTGCCTAGTAACTGACTGGAAGCTTAACGGAACGATGCCTATCCGTTGCTGGTAGCTCAGCTGGCATGCAACTGTTGTATCTATTTTTCCTTTGTGTATTGTATTATATGTATGTATGTATGCCCCATGTATGTGTGCCCCATGCTGAGGCTGATGTTGCATTCTTGATGCTTCTTCACCGCCGTTGGGCTAAACCAACTTACACTTAAACTAGGTCTTTCTAAGCTGGATAAATTTCATTCCGCTTTATTTGGTTTGTTCTGCCTCCCTGAATAATGTTCTATTAACTGGCCACGTTGCTTACACTAATTGCGCTTATCTTCGGTAATTTTATTGCGTTTGTAGCATTTTAAGTAACTTGTGGACATTTCTTACTTATCACGGATTTGTTGCTAACCAAATTACTTCATATGGTAATTTAGCGAAGAGTTATGCCACCGTATCTGTATGCATTATTGGATTTATTTTATTTCAGCTTGTCGTTGCAATTGAATGGCTGTAGTTTGATATCCCTGGTATGGTTGCGCTTGATGTGTATGTTGACAAGGTGCCTACCCGTCTATTACCCACTACATCGTTCATACTGGCTCCAGGAGACAGTTGGTCGTTGCTGGAGGGGACGGGGTGCACGGTTCTTGTGGCCGTGCTAGGCTCGAAGAGTGGTTCCATGCACTCAGTGTGGAGCGGACTACGGTTCAGCCACCGCCTTGTGTGCGGTTGATTCCCCAAATACAGCGTGCATGTGTTTGCCTGTGAAGGAGTGTGGGCCGGCTCCGTTGATGAAACGTGGTTCCCATCCGCATGCCTCCCGGTCTTATTCCTTCGGGTTTACACTGGATATGGGTATGTGGTTGGAGCTGTGGGTGGTGCAGCGCAAGCCATCCATGGTCCCTCTGTAGGCGCAGGCGTCCTGTGGCTTGCCACAGTGACAGGCAGATCCGAAACCGGATGCCGCCAACCACGTATGTATATGTGCCCCATGCAGAGGCTGATGCTGCATTTTTGATGCTTCTTCACCGCAGTTGGGCTAAACCAACTTACACTTAAACTAGGTCTTTTTAAGCTGGATAAATTTCATTCCGCTTTATTTGGTTTGTTCTGCCTCCCTGAATAACGTTCTATTAACTGGCCACGTTGCTTACACTAATTGCGCTTATCTTCGGTAATTTTGTTGCGTTTGTGTTATAACGCTGCCCTTTTGCTTCTCTGTCTCTGTGCCCTACCAACCAGCCGGGGAAAACAAAACGCCGAGCCTGCTGGACCGAAGTATATCAGGCACAGAACATGGGTACTTTTATAGGTCACATGCGCTTACCTCGCCGCTATCACTGAGGTGACTCACATCTCTTGTCTGAACAGATTCGACACTGGTAACGGCCTTCACTGTCTGACTAGGTAGGATCACGTCCGCAACACAGCAACCCGTGCGGCGATGACGGTCTGATTTCGTCAGCTTCCGGTTTGACCATGACAACGAGTCTGTCAGCCGCTCACGTGGTCTGGCCGATCTCGCCCCGCTCGCGTGCACCATCGTAGTCAGCTGTTTCGCCTCCGTGACACCTCCTCCGAATTGAAATTGCTTCCCCACCATGCGTACTTGCGTCAATTCAGCTTTCTTTGTTTCGACATCAGTCAGTTGTCCTGTTGGTTTTCTTCTTCTGGCCGCTCTTCGATATATGTTGTCTGCGGGCCTTTGTGTTTTTCCGTGGTTCAGTCTCCGCTGATCTGCGTGCCTGATCCATTTCTTATTTCTAACCGTTTGTTCGTAATTGACTCCATCATTTCTGCGTATCACCCTTCCTCTTGACCACCTCTTCGGTCCTCGGAACTCTCGCGCGTAACTTCTGTCACGGATTCTGAAATGACCCAAGCTGCCTGTCCGACTTTTCCTCGCATGACAACTGCACAGCTTTTCTTTCCTGATTGGCACAAGGCGTTTTGGTCTGGACACTGGTTTACTAACTGGCTTGAGGTTCAGGGCAGCACTGGTGATTCTGCAGCATTCTGGATCAGGTTGGAGCATTGCTTTACGGCGTCTATTCATCTGCGTAATCTGACTGCTATTGATTTCAATCGTCGCATCTTTAAATCGGATGGGCACATCTGATTTTGAAGTGGGAGTGTCGCAGAAGTTTTGCTCCTCCATGGCTTCTGAATTTGTGACCACATTTGCAGCCGGATTCAATTTGAGCAACTTCTGACATTCTGAAACAATTTCTTGCGACGTCAGCTTCAGTTCCAATTCCCATTCTACCTGCATGTTTAATTTGTGTGATAGCATTTCCTTCAACTGCCTCTGTGACTTTTCGAACCGCGTCTGCTGCTCCTGTAATAATGCCTGCAATTGTTCAAAGCTGACGGCCATTTTGGGTTCGATTGAACTCTCGTCGCCACTGTTATAACGGTCCCTTTGCTTCTGCCTCTCTGCCCTAAGCGCATGTGACCTATAAAACTACCCATGTTCTGTGCCTAATATACTTCGGTCCAGCAGGCTCAGCGTTTTGTTTTCCCCTGCTGGTTGGCAGACAGAGAGCAGAGTCAAAAGGGCAGCGTTACAACAGTTTGTAGCATTTTAAGTAACTTGTGGACATTTCTTACTTATCACGGATTTGTTGCTAACCAAATTACTTCATATGGTAATTTAGCGAAGAGTTATGCCACCGTATCTGTATGCATTATTGGATTTATTTTATTTCAGCTTGTCGTTTAAAGTGAATGGCTGTTGTTTGATATCCCCGGTGTGGTTGCGCTTGATGTGTATGTTGACAAGGTGCCTACCTGTCTATTACCCACTACATCGTTCATACTGGCTCCAGCAGACAGTTGGTCACTGCTGGAGGGGACGGGGTGCACGGTTCTTGTGGCCGTGCTAGGCTCGAAGAGTGGTTCCATGCACTCAGTATGGAGCGGGCTACGGTCCAGCCACCGCCTTGTGTGCGGTTGATTCCCCAAATACAGCGTGCTTGTGTTTGCCTGTGAAGGAGTGTGGGCCGGCTCCGTTGATGAAACGTGGTTCCCATCCGCATGCCTCCCGGTCTTATTCCTTCGGGTTTCCACTGGATATGGGGTGTGTGGTTGGAGCTGTGGGTGGTGCAGCGCAAGCCATCCATGGTCCCTCTGTAGGCGCAGGCGTCCTGTGGCTTGCCACAGTGACAGGCAAATCCGAAACCGGATGCCGCCAACCATGTATGTATGCGTTTGCTTCATGTATTGCGGCACAATAGCGGAGGTGTTTTCCCACCTCTAACTGATGTGTAGAATGATGAATGATGATGCTGCTTGCATTCGTGATGCTTCTTCACCGCAGTTAAGCTAAACCAACTTACACTTAAATTAGGTCTTTTTAATCTGGATGAAATTCATTCCACTTTATTTAGTTTGTTCAATTCTGTTAGTCTGCTTCATAGTCTGTTAATTTTGCGTGTTTGCTTAATCTTAAATTCTATGTTGGTTGTTTGACATCCCTTGTGTGGCTGCGCTTGATGTGAATCTTGACAAGGTGCCTACCTGCCTTACACCTTCCACCTCGATTACTGGTTCCAGGAGACTGTGAACTGTTACAGGGGGGAATGGGTGCACGGTCTTCGTGGCCGTGCTAGACTCAAGGAGTGGTTCCATGCAGTGTGGGGCGGACTACGGTCCAGCCACCGCACTTTGTTCGTCCGATAAGCATTATTCCCAACGTAGATAGAAAGGAATGCTGCTGCTGTGCATGTTGAAGAAGTGTGGGTCGGATCCGTTGATGAAACGTGTCTCCCAGCCACATACCTCCTGGTCTTATTCCCTCGGGTTTACACTGGGCATGGGTTGTGTGAATAGAGCTGTGGGTGGTGCAGCGCAAGCCCCTTGTCTGTAGGTGCAGACTTCCTGCGGCTGTTCTATGGAGGTCACTGTGACAAGCAAATCCGGAACCGGATGCCGCCAACCATGTTGGTAGGGCGGCCAACATATTGTATGCCGTGACCTGCCGATAGTGCTGAAATACATGTGGTTGACTGAAAACGCAATGTTGCATGTTTGAATGGTATCCCTTCGGGGATGCTCAGGCTGACTTGTGCACGATGCGACCGTTGATTGGATGTTTATATTGTGTCGGAGCCCCGCGACTGATTTCCACCCGCTTACGGTAGTGAGAACACGCAGGGTCATCCGGGTACCAAACAATGTTACACGCCGCATGCCAAACCGGCCACCACTTCCGTGTGTATAAAGCAACCGAATAGTTTAAATTAGTGCAATTACACAGGCTATGCAGAAAGGTTGACATTCGGTCAATCAAGGCAAGTTATTCTTGGGACGAAGGATTCATACGGTGCCTCACGTACGGGTGAAATACACAGAGTAAGAGGTAAGTCAATAAGCATAAGATTTGGTGTCAATACAGGGTAATCACAAGTAGGAGGTAACAGAAAACGTTTGCGGGGAACCGTAAAAGAGGTCGGGATGAATAGGACTGAGTGGAGAAAACGCACCAAACAACGGGAGTGGTGCAGTTTTCTTTCCACCGCCGTAACAGTTTGCTCTTCCGTTACTGATACTTCGGATACTGGTTTCAGGACACCGCTGGCTGCTACTGGGTAATTCGAGATACGGGTCCTGCCGAGTAGCGCTAGGCTGAAGGAGTGGTTCTCACAGAATTGGTCACAGCTATGTAGATCGCACTATACATGTCTGACAAGCAGTTCTGCCCTATCTGTGGTGGATCAGTACCCAACTAACTGGTACGAGGTAGGTGCTAGCAAAATGAGCATGGTTTCTTGTGGGGTACGTTGCGTCTCTATGCCTCGCCACGATCATGGGACGCTGTCAAGCGAACTCACGCGCTCGGCGCTGATATGCTTGTTGGTACAGTGTGGGCCCATTTTGATTCGATCCGGTCTCCCGCTCTCCCGCTCATACGCTCTCGGTCTTATTTGTTCGGGTTTACAGTTTGTGTTATATGTGTGAATGTAGTTGTGCGGCACAGTGCAAACGATTCATGGTCCCCCCCCCCACAAAAGCACATTCATCAGGCAAAATAAAAAATAAACTATAAATATTTTATTCGTAGAAAGTAGAAGTCACGATTAGAACCCACACACAATTATGTGCCTCGACGGGGAGTCGAACCCCGGCCCAACGAATTTCCGGTCCGCTGCTCTACCACTGAGGTACCGAGGGCTGACGATTAGGTGCACAAGTTTTAATACATGACTTCACAAACATCTACAAATATTTTATTCTCGAATTCATCGAGGCACACCAACTGTAGCTGTTGACTGGTGCACCGATGTACGAAACAGATACTTTGAATCATCACTTCTAGCCTAAGTTTGCATTGTTAATGTCGGTGGATGCTGGAAGTCCCCTCGCGGATGTCCCCCATGTTGCACCCGGTGGCATACAGTTTGTAACCGCTTCGTGCTTGATATGGTTTAGTCACTCCTAATGATTGAGTACAGTGTCATGTGCATGTCAGTATGCTCTTTTGCCAGCAGCCGAAGCGAACCTCGTGCATTATGCAAATTCTGAAGTCCTTTTGTTTCGCAATGAAGTTTATACCTTCCACATGCCCCTTGACCGTTTGCCAAATCTTCGGTTCAGATCAGTTGGCACGAAACGCAGGACCTAACTGGACGATGAGCAACACGGTACAAACTAACAATCGAAATCGGAGAGTATATCATAACAACTTTTTTCCATCTGCTTAAGTAATATGTGTGCATATTTCTGCCAAAAATACCCTTCCCTGGATGTGGATAGGAGAGGGGACAACCGGCCGGTGAAAAGAGCGTATCTACTATCCTTGTTGACCAATAGCAGTCCATGTGAGGTTAGCGGCTGGAAGGGGATTGTTCAGTAGGGTAATCAAGTTGGCTGAGTATTTGATTGGACCATTACGTGAGGTCGCGCTGACCAATGCGCTAATGAAACGTTGTTGTGCGTTGCGCGTGCTGTTAATATATGCTGCTCAGTCCTGGCAAACGTATCCTGTTCGGATGTGGTTACTGTACTGAGCATGATGACCTAAATTCCGGTAACTATAACAGTTGAATGTATACGCGCCTTTGCTGAATACTCTCCAACCTATCTTTACGTCTCTGGTTTCAGTGCCTCCGTTGGTCCGACTCGACAAGACAGAGGTAAGAGAACGAGAAGGAGCCACCTTCACTATTCATTGTTCCGCCGAAGGACATCCACAACCGGCAATAGAATGGTCCCGATCCACCGGTGGCCTCTTCCGCTTGGGTACCAGTGTTAACATGGCGTGAGTGAAATATCACATGCGGTTAGCATGTTTTCACTATTTCCACAACCATAAAAGCGTTCATTCGGTATTGACAAGATCCACAATTGCGTTGTTTTCGCTTCGGAATTGTTATCCGTTGTGTGTGCGCTTCTCATCTCGTTAAATTATTCATCGGATGCGACATCAAACCCTGTCATCTATTGTGCAGTGGCATGCTATATCATCATTTCTTTTGAGGCGAGAACTATCCTCTTCTGACATGAACCGCCGATTTCGATTGACAGTACTTAACGAAATTGTCCCATGTGGTGCACCATCTCATGTATTCAAAAATTCAGTGAAACTGACCAGATTAACTTTTTCTTTCGAATCCGGTAGCATCGGTTGTCTTGGAATGATATGATCCCTTACCAGTCCAAGTACCTGCATATGAAAGGTTTGACATGTACAAATGTCAACAAGTAATTTTTCTCATGTTTCTGAAGACACCTCAGAGAGTTAAGTGTTGATTATCTAAAGATATTCTCCCTGATCCGTTCTCATCCCGCATGGTTAGCAAACTACTTAGCTTGGCGTAGAAACTGGGTGTTACCCGTTCGAAAACACCGCACCGCACTACGCGTTTCGACCTTGTCTAACCTGATCAGGTAGAAACAGCATGTCTCGAACCCGTGATCATTGGAATATCTGTTGGGATATCTACCCCTTTGGCCAACGGGTTATGACGGGCAACGCTTGGCACAACTACTAATGACTGATTGGACAGTCCTTCCGAAGTACTCGTTGTGTGTTTGAACTGCGAAGTGCAATCTCAATGTGAGCAGTGATCCTCCAACAAAAGCCTCCCTAGTCCGTTCTCATCTCACATGGATAGAATACTACTGACTGCCGTGTTCTCGCCGACTACACCATATTCGGTAGCCGGGACTCACTCACATCTCTTTTACCAGTGAAGTTGTCTTGCAGAAGCTGACCACTCTACGCAAGCACAAATCCCCGGGTGTCGATACTATTCGTCCAGAGGCACTGGGAGCATCAGCAAGTCAACAGGCAAAGCCACTGGCTCAGTTCTTCCAGCGCTGCTTGGACCAGTACCAAGTTCTTTCCAAGTGGAAGCTAGGATGTTAAAACCCATTCACAAAGATGGAAGTAGAACCCATGCTTCCAACTACCGCCCCGTTTCGCTTCTCCCCATACTGTCCAAGGTGATGGGATCCATCATAGCCGCTGCGCTAGTGGGCTATTTGGAAAACGGTAACATTATTATTTCTGTACAGCACGGCTTCCGTCGAAAGCGATCATGCGCAACGAATTTGCCAATAGCACGGAGTAGCTGGACCCAGTCAGCTGACGCTGGGCGTTGATGTGAACTACCTGGATTTCTTGAAAGCATTTGACCGTCTGGATCATGTGATACTCCTTTCCAAGCTACAGCTTTACGGGATCGGTAACCCGTTTTAAGCTGGATCACCAACTATCTCCTTCAGAAGCAATTGGTGGTCAGAGTTCGGAACTCCTTCCCTGACCCCATCCAAGTTGAATGTAGTGTGCCTCAAGGCTCAACGCTAGGTCCCCGATTGTTTTTGCTTTTTTCAATGACCTCACACAGGCAATTACATCTAATTTCCTGCTGTTTGCCGATGACCTCAAGATTTGGCTCAAGCTTCAGAGGAATGCTAACCAGCAACTGCTTCAGAGTGATCTAGACTCGGTACATCAGTGGTCCATCCGAAATTCCCCGCAATTCAATGTGAGTAAATGCAAGGTGCTCTCCATACGACGCAAGAGCAGATACTGCTTCAGGCTCGGAACGCATGTGCTGCAGCGAGCTGCCACCGAACGTGATTTGGGCCTACTGGTTTAGGATGATCTGGGTTGTTCCACGCAATCCGCGAAAGCCTCCAAAACTGGTAACCAACATGTGGGCCAGTTACGACGGGTATTCCGACAAGCAGATCGCTCTAGTTTCCGGCAGATGCGTAGTGCGTATGTTAGTCCTCATATCGAATATGCCAGTCAAGCCTGGCATGCTTGGATAAAACACGACCTTAGTGCATTGGAGCAGCTCCAAGGTCGAGCATCAAAGTACGTTATTGGAATGCACCATCTTCCATAGGAGGAGGGGCTGGAACGATTAGGGATATTCAGCGGACGTTACCGTCGCTTACCAGGTGATTCAATAATGGTGTACTTAACTCTGGACGATCCACACCATGTGTGCTGCTCTTCACTGCAACTCAACAGTAAAAATCAGCTTGAGAGGTCACTCATTAGAACTAGCAGAACAGTACAGCCGACTAGATTGCCGCAGGAATTTCGCTTCCGTCAGCGTGTGTCACCTGTGGAATGCTCTTCCAGAATCGGTCATTTCTGCACCATCACTGTCCATATTTAAAAGACGTTTAGATGACACACTTACTCACCTACACTTTGTTAAATATTAATACATCACCATCCAACTCCTGGAATATACTAGGGATTTATTTGTTGTTACCTGCTTGTGCTGTGAAACTACGCGGATCACAGGGCTATAGCGAAACAAACGATAAGTCCCTCTTTTAAACCTAAATAACCCAGTGCTATTTTATTTTTCGAGAACCCTGCAAAACCACCCAACGGGATGTATAAAGCATAACTTCTTAACCCGTATAAATCCAATATTTATTGTTCATTTCACTAGCCCTTCGCAGTTCTTTGCGCTGCTCCTTCAGTCTCATGTGTATTAACATCAAACTGTGTGTATTTGAAACCGAAAATTCGTTCCGATTAATGTGCTTGCGCGCACACAATTGCACTGGTCAACATGACTCTGGGTCTTCCGTCCTGTGCACAGCCAATCTTCTAATGAATACATCTGGGTGACGGTCACGCAGAAAGGCTGATTATTTATGGTGTTAAAGTATTTTTAACAGTTGTGCGAAGAATACGCTTTTTGATAAATCACTGCAGGTGTCTACAATTATAGAGTGAATTGACTTGAATAAGCTTGTGAAAGCATTCATTTGTCAGCGTCGGTCACATGTGCTTGGGTATGCCACCTAATCA